ACACTGCTGTTGTATACTTGTGTGAATGTACTTGAATCCTATTTTGCAAGAGAATAAACCAAGCCAAAGATTTGTTGACACTTAACCCTTTCCCTACCCACACTGAGCATTCATATTATCCATCCTGTTCTCCTTACATTTCCTGTTATATTATCTTATACAAGAATTGTTTTTGAAAATAAGGAGCTTCTTAAATTGGTGGTCATTTCCTTCATGCTCATAACATTTACATTTGATTTAAGTCTGATACTGTGAGGGAGTGACTCAGCTCTTAGTGGGTAAACTGTCGTGAGCAACTTTTTTTGGATAAGTAGGGATATGCAAACCTTTAGAGGGTTGTAACCTTAAAAGAATAGAGCCATAAGTATGGAACATGGCAATAAAATTCATTCTTTATGGCAAATAATTGAGAGCAAGATTGAACGTAACACTTCATAAGGTTTGGAGTCAATGTTGATGTCACATCCTGTTTAAAAGGAAATACTCCAAGCACATTATTTTGTTTACTTTTCCCTTCATGTCAGTTCTAATGCCTACATGTCATTTTGGCACCATAAATCATAAATTTACTTGTCAAGTGACTTTGTCTCAAACCTTTGTGATATTTTTTGACATGGACCAATGAGATACCCCCACATAATTTCCTAAAAAATTGTAGCCATTCAAGAGACATATTTCTTAATTGTTTATGAAGAAGAAAAGAATCATTTTCTGTTGAGAAAGTCTCTTTGGACCAGTTAAAGTACCACATTACAAGAGAAGAGATTTACTCCAAGATTTATGAAAGACATACATTTTTATTTAGTAAGGGCATTTTCTGGTAAAGGTAAAGAATCCAATCCTACCAACGTGCCAGCTGATGCGTTGGTCGACAGTACCATTTTCCAGTCACAATTTTCTTCAGAAGACATAACTTACAGCTTGCATGGCAAACAGAAAACAAGATTATATAGTCTTCAATTACCATGTAACACAATGTGAAAGGTATCAAAATGCCAGGTGTGATACTAAATACATAAAAAAGTTTGTGTTTAAATTCTAGGAAGTTTCTTCACCCACAGAGAGCAAATATAAATTTTGAAAGGGTCTCAAAGGCTAAAATTTTAATGGAGAACTTGAATTTAGAGTGCAGTGGGAAAAGTGAAAATAGAAAGAAGCTTTCCATGATAATGTTCTGTATATTCTTAACCCTTCACCCAACTCCTTGGATATCATTGTTAATCCTCTCCTCTAACTGCTGCACATTTCCTTTTAAACAACTGTAGTTAAGAGAATTTGGTCTCAGATCAAGAAAACTATTCTATTCTACTCGACTATTCTCCTTACCTGTTTGCTGGATAATGCATAAATATTAAAGGGAGAGGTTTCATGTTAATCACTTCAGTAGTTGAAGAGTTAACACAAATGTACACCACACGAGCCCATTTTCTGTTAGTCTGACTAAACTTTAGCATTCCAATAGAAAAAGAACTATTGCATAATGATAATAGTAAATCTGAAAAAACAAATTTTAATGTTTTCCTCTGGTCGAGAGACAACCGACACAGAAAACATGTTTCTCACAAATCTGAGAGTCTGAATGTATGGTATGGGAGCTTATTTACATTGTGTAGTGAGTAGTTTTCCTCATGATTTACTTGTTGCTCACTTATAAAAGACTTCCCTATCTGACCAACCCTTCCTGACCTTGATATCTTTCATCCTGTTTATCTTAATTCTTTTACATCAGTTTTCTCTTATTATTCTTTATGGCTCTTCTTGGGCCTTAGGTTTTCTACTCTCTTGTTCCAAGGGTCAGGATACATTGGTCAGCTTTTTATTGCTTCCAGTTGTGCATGAGCAAGTTAACATGCTAAATTTCTCACAACAGTTTGAGGGATTTGAAAATTGCCATCCTTAAGTTATCACTGCTGTCACAGCAACATGTCATGATGTCAAAGTGTCATATGACATGCACCAACTACATTACACGTATAACAAGTATCATTGCATCCTTGTACAATCTTTCTCAAAATAGACTGAAATCTAACAGCTTCTCTACAATGTAAATCAAAATGTAGCACTTAATACTTTTCATGACTTTTTCATCCTTTATTTTCTTTTCTGTAGTTGTCAAATGAACAACTTTGTTTTTGATCCATCTTCTTTTCTCACCCACACCTGAAAATCACAATTAAACAATTATCCCTGATCAAGAAAATGTCTCCTAATTAAGAAAAAGATAAATATCAACCCTTTGAACCCCATTGTAAACATGTAGAGCTGGTTATTTTCATGAGGTCTAACCCAAACTGGAGTTTTACGCAAGCAGTGGGCCTTATGTATTCTCTATAAGAGGAATATTTTCATGTAATATCTATCCTAGCATCCACTGGTAGGTTTTGACCCTTTTGATAAAATTCACAAATATAAATATTCAGGCAAAAGATTCAGCCAAATTCAAGATAAATTAGAATGTGGTTTTGTTAAACAATGGCTAAACTTTGTTTCATCCTTTACACCCTAATATTAATATGTATAATCTCCATACTGTCCTCTTTACATTTCTTAAGGTGCTGACAAGGAGAGTTGGTTTAATAGTTAAGAGAGTCTTTAGTTGGTGATCATTTCTTTGATTCTCATGACCTTAATGTGTAATTCAGGGGTGATATTGTAAGGAGAAATTAAATGCTTGTCGCTCTTTAACAAACCATTAACTTTCATAAATTCTTGTCAATGGTGCCCATGGATTTCAATATAATAATAAGGCTATTTTTCTTTAATGGTCAGTTCCTTGACTCCCATAACCTTTACTTATGATAACATGATAATATTGTAATGAGAAATTTGATGTAGATCTCTCTTGGGAGTTCTGTTTTTAAGGGTTACCATGAAAAGAAATTTTTAGTTCTGTTTAACAGAAGACTGGCTAAAAATACCATACAGATGAAGTAGAAACTAAGAAAATTATTTAATCACCTCTCTGGTGTTGATTCATATAACAACAGTGCTAAATTAAAAAACAAAAATGTTTCATCACCCGAACAAATTTACTGAAATAAGCCATAAAAAGCTATGTATAAGCAAGTGTGTTTGCCCAGTGCTACGGCTGCAACATGGTAAAATTGAATAAATCAAGGCATTTCTTTGACCTAACAATTACGTCTGTCAACTGTTGCAAATATTCTGGAGCAAAATCAGTGCCTTGCAATGCACACTTGAAAAAGAAATTGAACTAGACTGAGGACTATCAAATACATAACAACACATTGATGAACAAGTCAAATTGAAGGGTATGGCTTAACTTATATTGCAATCCTTACAAAAAGAACAAATTTAAAAGTAAATTTATGATAACATGTAACCTCAGGAACATGAGCTATCGATATACCTGAAATTTGTATCATTTCTATTCTCTATCAGTACATGATCACCTTTGTGGAACCTTAAAAAAGAATGTAAAGATGAGATTATGATTATTAGAGCTTTTTCACAATTATATTCACAAATACCATTCTAGGTATGTGATTTAGTCTTAATAGTCATTGTCATGTGTGCACAGCTGTCACAAATTAACAAATATATGTCAGTCACAGAACCACATACCATTCTCCTTCATAGTAAAGCTGTCCATCTCCATATCTTACAATTAATGGACTTTTCTCTGATTGACAACCACCTACACATGAAATAAAAGAGTTTGATGATTCCAATTTCCAAAATGGTAATATTCATTATTAACATATTTGGTTGAATGTGAATCAAAATATTCAGTTGTGATTCATGTCAAAAAAAAAACTTTAAAGAAACAAACTTCGGTAAATTCTAATTTTTTGCTAAAATTGTAAGTACATGGCACTAGCGGTTGAGTTGAAGCTCTCCATAATGCTCACAGGAAAGTGAGTACTTCAAATGATCAATTATAACTTGAGGAAGCAATGACATGATAAAAATGTACCATACAATACGTTTGTGCTCTTCGAAAGGCCTCTTGCATCCTTCAAAAACAACATCATCTACATCGATTGAATGGCAGTTGTTAAAGTTAGTTCACAAGGCAATTTTTTCTCATGAATGGCCAAGTTACTTGCAATTTAAGCAATTTAAGCAAAGTTGAACTATGAGTTCCAGCGCAGCTATGCAGCTTGAAATCCTACTAGTGGTATCTCACATTTATCAAGATCAAGTCACCAAGAGTATTGACTTTTATCAGTTCTCTAAAATGACTTTTAAGCATTTGATGAAAAAGGTCCAAGTTAACTTTTCAGCTTGATGTAGTTTTTACTTCACATTGCTAAATAGGTATACTTATTTTATCTCTCCAATATTTTTAACTTTATTTCTTACCAGATGTATTTCTGTTTGGTAGAAATAACTTTTTTATCTAGAAGATATTTTTTTAAGGAGATGTATTTCACAGATGAAGAGCCACTTTGTGGAAATGCAGAATAAATCCATTATTACTATTATTATTACTATTTAATAGTTTTAGTATTATTATTATTCAGTCATATGACAAGACTCGAAGTCGTTTGCATAACCTTTTTGCTTTTAAAAAATCACTTCCTTCCACACACCACACAACAATTTTAGGACTTTGACGCCTCCATCTAAGTTACAGAGGAACAAATGACCAGGGCTCGAACTTGGCGGTGGTCTACTAGCCAAATACCAGTAGATTTTGAGTTTTGGCTAGTGGATTTTCTCATCTGCTAGCCATCTTGGCTAGTTAATTTTCGCCTCTATAAATAACTTAAGTCTTCAAACATTTTCAAAATTCTTTCATTTCAACAACTGGCATGAAATAAAAAAAGAAAAATAACTCTATATTCGAAAAATAATTCTTTGTTTCGTTAAAAGTCCGTGTTCGTTCGCCGCCATATTGACTTGCTTGATCGAGGAAACATGGGATCAAGTCACATACCCATGATGCACTGCTACCAAAAAAACGCTTGTCTGCCATTTTGAAATGCCACGCGTGATTGCTCTTGAAATGCCACGCGTGATTGCTCTAGTTAAGTATGGATATCAGGGCATTTCTGTCGTCATCAAAATCCTCTGAATCATCTCAAACATCTACAACTTCCACTTCTAAGAGAGCAATTGATGATTCTTCGACATCTCAATCTTCATCGAAACGAAAGTTCGTACGGTCGTGGTTGAAAGACTTCACATGGCTAACGTACGACTCAGAAGGAAACCGGATGTTTTGCAAATTTTGTAGAGACAATCCAACTTGCAGTGACTCATCCTCTACCTTCGTGTCTGGCAGTCAGAACTTTAAAATAGAATCTGTGAGAAGCCACGAAACTTCAACTGGTCATACACGTTGTGTTGCGGCTGCTAAAGTTTCTGAGAATCCACAGCTAGCTCCTTTACCACGCGCTCTGTTGTCAATGTCAAAAGAAGTCTCTCAGAAGATGGAAAGATTGTTTGATATAGCTTATTTTGTTGCAAAGAGGGAAATGCCATTTACAAGCTTTCCCCACCTGTGCAAACTTGAAATGAAACACGGAGTTGAGCTTGGAAACACCTACATTAATGACAAAGCATGCAAAACGTTTGTAACGGCTATTGCAGGACAATTAAAGCATGAACTTTCAAGCAAGCTTCAGTCATCAAAGTTCATAAGTGTAATGGCAGACAGTGCATGTGATGTTGGAGTACGTGAGGTAGAAGATGTTTATGCATGTCATTTGGTTAAAGGTGAGATAGAAAATTCATTTGTGGGGCTGAAGGCTTGTGAAAACAGCAAAGCACCTGGAATCAAAGCAGCTGTGGAAACTGCTATGACAGAGGTGTGTAGGGATTGGAAAGAGAAGACAGTGGCCCTGGGAGCAGATGGAGCAAATGTTATGCTTGGAGAAATAAGTGGTGTTTATGGCTTGCTTAAACAAGAAATTCCTCACATTATTAAGGTACACTGCGTTGCACATAGGTTGGAACTTTCATTTGCAGACACCTTGTCAGATGTTCCAGTTCTTAAAGATGTCAAAAAAATGCTTCAAGGTATTTGGAAGCACTATCATTATTCTGCAAAGGCAGTCCGTGAGCTTGAAGAACTAGCTGAGATTATGAAAGTGCGAGCATATCAATCAAAGCAGACGGCACAAGGTGGGTACCACATATGCAAAGAGCACTGAATATTCTCTTGTCAAAGAACTTTCAAGTTGTAGTTTGCACTTCCAACATACCTCACAAGCAAGGGATGCCAGTAACCAGATGCAAGGAAGGGCTGTGAATTACAGCAAAAAATTCACAAGCTACAAATTTGTTGCCATCATGCATCTGTTACTTGACATTGTAGATGCACTTTCCAAAGTGAGTCTTAGCTTCCAGGAGGATGGAATAACAATCTCAAGAGTTCAAGATAACTTAACTGCCCTTTTAGCAAAACTTGAATCTTTCAAGGAAAGACCTGGTCAGCAACTAAACTCTTTCCTTACGGAAGTAGGGGATGGCAACACATTTAAGGGCATAGAGCTTCAAAGGGATGCAGACAGGCAGGCTATTAATCCTATCCAGGCATCTGTGGTGAATGCTGCCATGACATTCATCCAAGAGAGGTTTGAAGGGATGGAAACAGATCCAGTATTGTCAGCAGCAGCTGTCTTGACAAACCACCGAGGTTGGCCAGTTACAGACAGGCATCGGCTGCTCCTATATGGCAAAAATGAAATCCAGACACTACATGGTCATTTTCAGGTACCTCTAGAGTAGCACAACTTCAGTCTGCATGACTGTCTTGATGAATGGATGAGTCTGAAATTCCATGTACAGCGAGTTAGAGCAGAACTTGAACTCAGGCAAAGCGAATTCTGGAAGAACAAATTTATGTTTTGCAAAGATGATTATCCAAACCTGCTAATTTTAGTGGAACTATGTCTTGTAATTCCTTGCTAGACTGCTTGCTGCGAGCGGGGGAACTCTTGCATGAACAGAATCATGACTGACTGGAGGTCAACCTTGAATGTTTCTACTATTGACGAGTTGATGAGAATAGCTATCAGTGGACCTTCTCATGAGGACTATACTGCAGTTCTTGCAGTTGGGCGCTGGCTGGAGGAGTCAGAACGGAGCAGACGGCCTACATTGATGGACTGATCATTGCCTTCAATGATCATTCCTACCATTTGGGAACACCTAATTAACTGTTTTATAATACTGAACACTACTAGGGTACTAGGCATTTTGAATGAGCAGCTGCTGTTTGCAGCTAGAAGCTTAAGTCACACAAAGAAGTAATGTCTGTAGCAGTACATGTACAGTTGGGTTTTATTGTTGTCGAGGTAATTGGAATAACGAACAAGCATGAACACATACAATGAATTTTATGTACAGTTGTATAATAAATTGATTACAGTTTGATAGCAACAGCAGTTTTACATTTTCTTGTGTTTGTTTAATCTATAAAAATGATAGTTTTGTGCTGTACACTTGCCTAGTAGAAATGCATTTTTGGCTAGTGAATCCTGCCCATGTACTAGCCATTTGACTATTAACTTCAAAAGTTAAGTTCGAGCCCTGATTAATGATGTAAATTACGGCACCAGGTATGTTTAAAAACCTTGGTTTGATTCTTCTGTTGCTACTTGTCGACTTGCTTCAGTTCCGAAATTTCACTTTCAATTATCGGAAAAAAGCTAAAAAGAAGTCTCGGAAAAGCTCGAACATAGTACAATTGGCAGATGGCGTGACAGCTTTAGCTCAGCTCTATGCTCTATACTCTCTTATTATATACTCAACAAAATATCGCATTTCTGATTGGTCAATGATGAATGCATAAATAGGTTATAGAGTGCAATAGAGGTTATAGAGTGCAATACGGAGAAGTTGCCATGGAAACACTGGGGAAGCGCCAAATTTGAACACCAAATTATAAAAAAATCAAGAATATAATAAATAAAAAATCGTATGAACCTGCTCGTGCATTTCGTGATTTATGGTCACTTGTGATGTTTTGAAAGTTCTTAAATTGCACTCGCCTACGGCTCGTGCAATTTTGAGAACTTTTGAAACATCACTCGTGCCCATAAATCACGAAATGCACTCGTGTTCATACCATTTCCTATACATAGAGCACGCTCTTTCAACCAATGACAGTGCACATTATATCTGAACTTTATTATAAAATGAAATAAATCTATCAGTAATGTTTCAAGATTCCTTGAGTCACGTTTGGGAACACTCAAGATTCATTATAGGAACTGCTATTAAACAAACCTTATTACATATAGAAGCCCTCCAACAGAGATTTCTTGATTTGAGAATCCAATGAATGCCCTTTTCCTTATAGCCACTTTAAAGGCCTGGTCTGAGCTTTAAATATACATATATATTTATATATATTATTTTTTTTCAAATTCAGATGTCATGGAATCCAGATACAAAATGGTCAAGCTTCTTGTAGACAACCTCATTCAAGGCCAACTCATTGTGAGCCCAGGGAAAAAAATACAAATAGCAGCTAAGTTTGCAGTTCAGGATAACTTCATTCTAATTTATTGTTACAGTTACAACAAGATTTTAGTTAAAAAATCAATTTTATTTATCTGTAATTAACCCCTTCACTCCCAAGAGTGCTTGGTTTTCAAATATAATTTAAGATATTGTATTTTATGGAAAAGAATCAACAGATTTTATTCACAATTTGTGTCAAACCAAATTTAATGATTGATTAGGACTATTTTATATGAATAGCTGTAGTTGAGGATTAATCCTTATGAAGTTTTCAAGAAAAGGAAAATAAATCAAATTCCATCCTAATATTACCACATGTTGATGTTAATAATTAATCAAAAATATTTTACATGTAAGCCTTAATTAAGCTTCTAAATAAATTTCATTGAATACTTGAATTTTAGCTGGGTTTTTTAATTGATAGTATTTATTTTATATCATTAGCCTCAAATTTTTGCTTAAAATTCCCAGTTATTCTTAAACATTCCTAAAAATTCCCAAAAATTCCCAGAAATTCCAAGGAATTTTTTAGATTTACAGCTTTTCAGGGAAGGTCATTGGTTCTCTGAGTTGGAATTCCTAGGAATTCCTAGGAATTCCAAGTCCTGTTGGCTATAAACTTGGAATTTCTGGGAATTTCTAGGTTTTTGGAACCAGTGTTGTTATGGTTGGGAATTCCTTGGAATTCCCAGTCTGAATTTACCATGAAAATTCACGCCTTTATTCCGAGGAATTCCTAGGAAAAAATTCCTAGGAATTCCTAGGAATTCAAAACTCCATTTCGCAAGGGCAGCATTTTGTGACAAAGTGAATCACAGAATATGAGTTCCTTTTGCTGAGTTTAAACCAGCTTTGGTGTAGATTGAAGAGGGCCTATTACAGGTAATCACAATTCTATCTGTATTCCACCAACAGGAGTGGGAACTAACACTTGAGGCCAGATATGGCTTTAATGGAGAAGAAAGAAATTTGGAGGTTGATAATGAACCTGGTAATTGCATTTCAGATAATTATAACCTGTTTGATTTGAATGTACTGGTTTTAATATTTAGTTAACATTGTTAGAAACCTTATCATTTGGGTACAGTAAACCAGGGGCTAGTGGATTCTTAGGTCAGGCTGGCAGATTCTGACCCTCATTTGCCCAACTGGCAAGAGGATTTTTTCAGGAATCGTTCAAAGTACAGAATTATCTCAAGTCTAATACCCTTTACACACCAGCAAAACATGTTCAGTTCAAATGTGTTAAACTGAGTGAACACCAGAAACAGAGAACTGAACAACTGAATTTCCTATTTGGTTCATTGAAGTACTGAGTCACTAACTTGTATTTTCACTATGTAGAATTTAAAGTTGACAAACATTAGCTTGAGCTCACCATTCACTCCAGAGAGGGGCTAACCCTTGCAACATCAGCTTAGAAACTCTCTACCATGGCCAATTTACATTATTAACTCATTGATGTTTAATTTGATGAAACCAAATTATCTAATTTTAAACTGTTTTTAACAAAAAAGCTTTAAAATATGCTTTAGCTTTGGTGTGAATTGGTTTTTACTTAATTTTTTTTTTGTCAACCCACAGTTAGACTTAAGTGGAACAGAATTAGTATTTGAAATTGCTGTAGTGAAGTTAGTATTGCATTCCATTTGTTGCAAGGCAAGACTTTTTTTTAGCCCTTGTAGGCTATGTTGAATAGCCCATAGATCACATTTTCAGCACATTTTGGAGTTTGTAGACTTGACTGCACTTTGTTTTCTTCAATAGCTGACCATCTTCCACTTAAGTTACATCTGAAAGTGAGGGTGACACAGGGGTGGAAATTTTCCTATGTTTATCCAGGGATCCAAGATGATTTTAGACAGATGCATGGTTTCCTATGAATGTTTATGAACTCACCTGGGGTTATCATGAAAACTGTTAGGTGTATCATTTGTTACCTTTTGGAAAAGGATACCCATGGTGAGTAAGATTATTTTGATCTTCTGTTTGACACAATGAAGTGGAAAATTAGTGAGGTTGACCAGTACTGTGCAGTACATCCTTCAAAAATGTTACTCTCTTGACAATGAAATGGTTCTTTCAACTATCACATTTTCCAGTTGTTGGGTTTTTTTTGTTGTTACATAACTTGCAAATGAGTTATCTTATTGAGATCTGTCTCTTTTGTTTGGCAGGTATTCATTTGGTTCCTGATAATGAACAGCTATTAATAACAAAAGTGGATGAACATGAAGGGACATCAACCTTCAGTTACAGGAGTGACCCTGCAAGTGACATAATCTCTGTTTCTGAATGTGAACAAATCAACAATTTTGTTGCTGTTTATCGGCGGAAGTTTTGGCTGACAAGTGTCCTGTGGCTGCTGTCAGAATTGGCTATAGAACAGTTTGGTAAGGGAAGATTCTAACTAGTTTAGAGGTAACTAGACTGCTGAAAAAGTTATGAGACTTCAGAAACATGTAAGCTTGCTCCACCTGCTGCTTCACAGCAGGTGGAGCAAGCTGAGTCCTTGTAGATTTTTAAAAATTGAATTAAACATTGAATTAAAAATTGCTTGTTTTTATAACTTCCCTTTTAAATTTTCTACCTATAAGGCCACTTGCAAGTATTTTAATCTTTTCTTTTACCACATATGATTTTATTAATATTTTTGTAGTTTATTTTTATATAGTAATTTCTTCAACAGTATTGTTAGTTTTCAAAATTAGGGCCCCTCTGGATACCATCCTTATAGCCAAATGTAAATAAAGTTTATCTATCAATTGGAGTCATAACAGACCAATAAAATCACCTGATTATTTAGCGAGTTTTATTTCAGGGAAGAGTGGAATCTTTGAAATTACTTTTACCCAAGCTGACTACTAACACTCATTATTTCTTATTCATTTCTGTTACTGGCAGGGCAGCAAGTCCCAAGAAACCCAAACAAGACTTGTTTGTTTTTGAAAGAAAACATTAATTTAGTCATCTTATAAGCAATAATTACATGTGAAAAGATTTCCCATACTTTTATGTCATTCTTGTAGTTGAAACTAGGTGACATAGAATGTGTAAAGGGATTAGTTTTAAGTCTCAGTGCCAGGTATCACATAATGATCAGTTTTATCAACAAAGTAGACAATGTTAATTGGCCACAGTAGACCCATTATCAACTCAGTTATTATAAGGATGTTGGAAAATCCCAAGAAACCCAAGCAAGGCTTTTTTTTTTAAAAGAGAAAACACTAAATTTAGTTATCTTATAAGCAATAGTTAAATGCAAAGAGATTGCTCATACTTTTATGTCATTCTTTTAGTTGAAAACTAGGCAACATAGAATGTGTGAATGGGTAAGTTTTAAGTGTCAGTACCAGGTATCACAAAATGATCGGTTTTATGAACAAAGTTGACAATGAATATTGGCCACAGTAGACCCATTATCAACTCTGAGCATTCACATTCTCCATTCTGTTCTCCCTATATTTCCTATGATACTGACAAAAACTGTTTTTGAGAATAAGGAGCTTCTTAAATTGGTGATCATTTCCTTTATTCTCATAACCTTTACATTTGATTCAAGGGTGATACTGTAAGGAGAAATTAGATGTCAGACACTCTAAGGTCTACAGGTTAACCTGCCCACTTTTTACCAGAGGAGTAGT